CATTTTTGGAAAAAAAGCATGGACTATAGCCCATGGTTTTGTTCGATTTTGGGTCATTTTAACACCTTTTAAAAATAGCACATTTTTTGGCAAAAAGCATGAACTATAGCCTATGGTTTTGTTCGATTTTGTGTTATTTTCACACCTTTTGATAAAATATGCATTATTTATGAAGGGTGCAAAATAGGTCATTTTTAACCATTTTTGGGCAAAAATCATGGACTATAGTCCATGGTTTTGATCGAATTTGGGTCTTTTTCACACCTTTTCAAAAAATATGCATTATTTATGAAGGATGTAAAATAGGTCATTTTTAGGCAAAAAGGCATGGACTATAGCCTATGGTTTTGATCGATTTTGGGTCATTTTTACAGCTTTTGAAAAAAGATGCATTATTTATGAATGATGCAAAATAGGTCATTTTTTATCATTTTTGGTTTTGATCGATTTTTGGTCAATTTCACACCTTTTGATAAAATATGCATTAATTATGAAGGATGCAAAATCGGTATTTTTGGGGCAAAAAGCATGAAGTATAACTCATGGTTTTGGTGTATTTTGAGTCATATTGGGTTATTTTGGCTATTTTTGCTATAAGAGTTTATGGTGTTGTTGGATTTTATGGCATTTAGCCACCTGTTGAAAAATATTAGAAAGTTGTATTTTATTTATTACTTTTATCATTCTATTCTATTAGAAATAAGTAAACAAATAAAACTTTTAAAATGCTTCTCCTTCGATTTCCCTTATTAGAACGTCAAAATGACGTCATTCCAGTATCCTATTTGGTTATATCATCACCCACGGTGGTTTAAGTTAGAAAACAGTAATGAAGTCGTCTTCTTCGTGCGCCATCAAGCTTGTTTTTAATCAAAAATAGCGTAGACCGTTTGTCCAGCTGTGCAGCTGCAAAAAGCCAAAGACAATAAACAAGATTTCTTTCAAATATCGAATCTCGAGAAAATCGTTCACAAGTTACTATATAAAACATTTCTGTTAAGATTCCAGAATATTGGATTTCAAGACTGAAAAGTATAAAGCCCTATATCATGTTCCAATACATAGCACGTCCTTGTATCGACACATAACCGCTTAAAAGAGCTTACTCCTGGCGTAGTCACTTGTCTACACGCTGCTAACTGACTTAAAAAAGAGAGAATTATTTATCGAAGTCTGAGCGCCTGAACAAACATTCAAAGGGTAAGCAAATCTCGCTTATTTCTGTGCTCTTTTCTAGGTCTTTAGTAGAAATTTGCTTGAATTTTACCAGATATCATTCAGCTAATGGTAACAATGGCAAAGACGTTTTTCAAAGTGTTCGTTTTCATGATTTTTGTGGCTGGAGTCTTTTGTTCAACGCCAGTGAGCTTTTCAGGTGAGCGAACAGGTTTTAGATCATTTTTATGTGTCTTATTTTGCCGTATTTTGAAAAACCCAAGAGAAAAAATATCAAGAAAAGTTTACCAATGGAATGTATAAATATTAAAATACAAATTTAGATTATCTGATAACAATAATAATGTCTATTGAAAGCAACCTTTTCAATTTATATCAAATTTTTCAATTGAGTATTTATGAAAATCCTACAATTCCAATGACGTATCCACTTTGAATCATTCAAGACACCATTGATACGTATTGAAAAAACTTATTCACGAAAACCCCTTTCAAAAAAGACTCGAATTTCGTCAAACTGTCTTCTCTCATGTTTACTTGGGCTTTCTTGACTCCTTGTATTTACCAGAGAGGAATTTTTTTTAAATTTTCCCCAATAATTTGCTACTTCTTCTAAACTTTTCCTCATTTCTAAGGAATTTTCTTTCTTTTTTATTCGTACTTCTGAGAAACTTACATTTAATGCCGAAGTTGAAACACAACCGTGCAGAAAATATTGTACAAACTCTGATAACGTACTTTTTTCTAGAATACTTTTATTCGTGGTCTGTTCGTGTATAAACATCGTCTACCGCACGTCAAAAGATTCCGTTCTATTGATACAGACCGCCTCATATTCCTCTACGACAGAACCCCTAAAGGTCAGATGACTAGAAAGATACCGGTTGTCTTTATAGTCTTCAGTAGCTTGACCTTCGTTTCCGAAGCGTCGCGGAGGTCTTTCCGCCCACGTAGCATTCCTATCAAAGGTCTTTTTGATATTTGATCCTCATTTCCTAATTATCGAGCTAATAAGGTCTGATATGACTTGTCTTTAATGAACACAGGAAATCTTTAAATCTTAAATCTACGTGAAATAAGTATTTTACGGGTGAAAACCAGTTGTATAATATTTTGTCTGCGATTAATAATGAATCCTGTTTTTAATATATTAACTTTTTATTCAAGCCCTTCTCCCATCCACTTATTCCCTTCCATCCTTTCCTTCCTCTTTCTTATCTTCTCTTGGTTTCCTTCCCTTTCAATCTCCTCTTTCCTCCTCTCCTTCTTATTTAATTTCACCCCCTTTCATAATATCATACTCTCTTGAATAAATTGAATTCTAGCCCTTCCTTCCCTAAAATTTCTTTTCGTCCCACCCCTCCCTACCATAAAAAAGACAGCTTCTCACCAGCCCTTCTCCTCCCTCAGCGATAAACTGTAATCAGTACCCAGCCCCTAAAAACGGCCAAATTCAATGCTTCCAAGATTCTGGTTCAACGGATGTGACGTGTACCACGTCATGTAACGCCGGATATGACGTCGAGTTTCTGTCGGCATCAAAATATGTTTGTCACAATGACGGCACATGGGAAGCTGTACCTAACAGCGTTGGGCTGCCTTGGCCGAACTGCATTATTTATGGGTAGGTAGCCACACCCAATAATCAAGGGAGGGACAGACCACCAGGGATTACCAGGGAGGGACAGACCACCAGGGATTACCAGGGAGGGAC